CCCCAAAACCCCAAAACCCCAAAACCCCACCACGCTCCAAACTTATTTAAAAATAGCCGTGGTTATTTATTAAGAAATGGAGGAAGTCTCAGAAGGTTAGTCCTTGGGAGGAGGAAGAGGGAGGGATCGAGGAGGAAGGGATGGAGAGGAGGGAGGGATGGAGAGGAGGGAGGGATGAAGGGTTAGAGGATGGGGTGGTGGGAATGTGACAAACAACTTTGGGATTGACATGAAGAATGTGGTTATTTTGGAATTTAGGGAAATTATAGATTTTTTCTTTTTTGTATTTTGTGATGGGTATACAATTTTGATATATTCTAATGAATTTTTGTAGAAAATAGAATAAGTTTACTAAAAGAATTTTTCATCAGCAAGAAAAAGTTGATATGAAATTTCTTCAAAAATACCATGGATTTGTACAACTATTTTTCAGGATACGACGAAGAAGTTGATCGTTATATATAAACGAAGTCATTGAAGAGTCTATTGAAAAGAAGTATACCAAGTACATCAAGATTGTATGCTGGGCAACTATAATACTCTGATTAATTACAGTGGTCATGGGATACTCTGGTAAGAACCTTCACTCATTATTATAGATATCTCCGATGTCAATAAAGAAACAAATTGGCAGACTTGTGTTAATTGCATAATTTTCTCAATTTTATTACTCGCTGCTTTGGTTGCACTAAAGATCAAACCAATTTATATCACATACTTCATCCCTATTATTATCGGTGTTGGCATTTACATGGTCATACTTTTGACGATACAGAAACGTTATTACAGACTGAGTGAATTCCATATTACAATGTCAACATTGTCACATACATTATTAATTCTAGTGCCAACTCAATGGAAATCGAGTGCTCTTGCTCATAATTTGTGATTAATATATCTTGTATATGCAATCTGGAAAACCTATGGCATAGTCAACACTGATATGATTTCAAGCGCTGTATTCTCTTGTTTTTATTTCATCCTTTCAAGCTATATGTTAATCATTAAAACAAGAAATATGTATTCAGAAATTCTCAAGAACAAGCGACTCATCAAAGAAATGAAGAAAGTCATGCAGATTCTTCCCTTTGGTGTTGTCATTTGGCCAGCAAAAGCCAACGAAAAGTGGTTTATCAACCAAGAGTTCACTAATAAGTTTACAAAGATCAGGAAAGACCTCTCCGATCTCAAAGACATCGATATTTCGTTCATCGACAACTCTGATGAGGCAAATGCACACCAAACCATTCCACACGATTTAGAGGGGTTGTTGAAGTCTCAGCAGCAAATGCTTGATGACCAAGACTCAATGGTTGACCAAGATATCAAGATCCACTGCAACCCACAAGGCAACTTGCTGATACACAAAGACAGCTATGACGAAGCTCAGAGAACCTGCAACGTCAAAACACTAATGGTCGAGTGGGAGGGCACCAATGCTTTCATGCATGTTTTTGTCGACAACACTAACGTGATCAAGCTCGAAGAAGCCAAGAACAACATCAAGTGTCAGAAGATCATGTTCACATCGGCTTCACACGAGTTCAGGACTCCACTCAACTCGATCACCAACTCCTTCGACATCGTGCTCAACTCGTTCCAAGAACTGCACAACATATCGAAGCCGTACTTGCGGCAGCTCCGAGGCGCCAAGAAAGAAGCTGCAGAGCTCAACACAGATATGATCACCAAGTTCATCAAGATCGGAAAGAGTTCTTCACTCCTGTTGCTCACGCTCATTGAAGACGTGTTGAACCTGTCCAAGATGGAGGCTGGCACTTTCAAGCTCACCAAGAGTGTGTTCTCGGTGAAGGCTCTGCTTGATGAAATATTCGACATCTTCGAAATGCAGTGTTTGAGAAAGAACTTGGACTTCAGACTTGAAATGACTGAAGAAGTGTCGAGACTTGAATTGAATTCAGATGAAGGCAGAATCAAGCAGGTCATACTCAACTTGATGTCGAACTCTATGAAATTCACCTTCCGTGGCTATATCAAGATTGAGTGAAAAATTGCTCGAGACTGGCAGAACACTTTTGTCGAATTCGCTGTTGAAGACTCTGGCATCGGCATCACCGAAGAACAGCAACAACAGTTGTTCAAACTGTTCAGCATGGTCTCAGACCCGAACTCAATCAACCCAAACGGAACTGGGATCGGCCTCACCATCAGCAAGAAATATGTGGAGGCCATTGGAGGAAACATTCACTTAGAATCAGAGGCGAAGAAAGGGACTTTGGTAGTATTCACAATACCAATCGAAGAAGAACCAGAGCACATGCTAAAACAACCTAATGATGACATAATTCCCAGGTATACTTCTCTCTCCACAACCCTCTTAATCCCTCTAGATCCCTCCCCACCTCCACTGATTTCCCTCCAGAAGGTACAATCCCCACAGACTTCCTGAACAGACTAAATTGCTATTACCCTCCGAAGGTCACGTTCAAATCCTTCTAACTCCATATTTGCTAGTAATATCCACTTTTGTTCAATCAATCTCTAAATATGGGGTTTTGGGGTTTTGGGGTTTTGGGGTTTTGGGG